GAGAGACATGGCTAACCTAGGATAGGAGTAGAGTATAAGTTGAAAGCGCAATCACTTCGCCACACTGCCTCTAATGAAAACGGATCATAAGGCAGAGCACATTTCAAGTGATTGCGCTTTCAACTTATACTCTACTCCTATCCTAGTTCGATTGCCATTTGGGGGTAGTGATGAAAGCCAAACAAGGTCGAAACTACAGTCCACTGTTACTAAGATTACCTTTAAAGAGACAACGCTAAGGCAGCGCAAGGCCTAATCATATAATTGTGAGACATTCATCGCATGTGACCGAGGGCTAATACAGTTTCTCTTCTTTTTTAACCCATATTCTCTGAGTTTACTTTAATTTTTAACTTAATTTCTTATCGTGGCTGCACCTATATATTTTATCCACCTTTCTTCTAAACCTTTCTCCATAATTAATATAAGAAAATCTGCTTGATCAAAGATTCGAGTTTGGTTCTAATCAGCCTATGTAATTTTAATACACTTCCTTGGAGCCTGGTCTTAAGCATACCACTCGCTATCTCATACTTTACAAATTTATTGATTGTTTTTAAAAAATTACCTTGGCCTTTTTTTCTTAAATAAGCATTTTTCTTACGTAAATAAATATCAACTTCCTAATTTCTATATTTTAGGCAGTAGTTTAATTGTTTGGCCTTGTTTTCGCAACTTGGTTATATTGGTAGGAAGACTTAGAGGAACACACCTAGTCCTGAGTCCATTGTATGCATAATCATTTCCAAATTTGGACCGTGGACGTGGTACATTCCCATAAGCTTCGCCGACATCGTCATTGAGTATCGCCATTCTTAGCCCTGGGGCAGAATGGGCAGAAAGAGAGATACTACAACTGTTTAGCACACGTTTGATCAAAGGATAGGCTTACTTGTCTCTTTGACGAGTTGTTGTATGGTGCTAAGAACGATGTCGGCGAAACTTCTCGGAATGTTCCACGTCCACGGTCCGACTTTGGAAATGATTATTCATACAATGGACTCCGGACTAGGTGCGTTCCTCTAAATCTTCCTACCAATATGACCAAGTTGCGAAAACAAGGTCAAACAGCGAAAGGAGACAGCGACGACACAAAAGTCCACACCATCTTGGTCTTCATATCCTCGAGTAGTTTAGTTGATTAGCAAACATTTCTTCCCAGCTAAAATCTGGATCTCTTACAGAATCTTGCCATTGATTGTATGTAACTTTCTAGGTATTATGGTAGATATATTTACTAAATTGTTTCGATTATCCTTTGCCCCTATGTTCACCTCATGGTATTAGTAAATATTTAAGTGCTCATTGGCAATCTTTATTTTCTATATTTCTCTATTTTTACGTTTTGATTGTAAATAGAACAATTTTTTTCATTATTTTCATCTCCTTATTTATCCTCAAGCTTTCTTTCTCCATTTACGGAGCTTATCCAACTGGGTCCATCTTGATGGACTTGACCCATGGGTCTGCAAAGTGAGCATATATTTAATTAGGCGATTGTTACAACTTAAGGAATAAATATATTATTAACCAAAATACTGCCCCACACTTTATGTTTCCTCGGATCGTCTTGTCACTGGCAACCTACCAGCAAGCACATTGTTTTCGTAAGGCCTCTTTTAAGGCCTAATATAATCTAATATTAAAGTCCCCTCCAACTATTTCGCTTTTATACTTCCTATTGATCTGCGGTTGTCCTTTCTAACAATTGTGCTACTTGTATGATAGAATAAACCTTCATTAACCTCTCTTCATGAGGCTTTGAGTGATATGTCGTGCAGGCTCTGTTTTTTATAAAAATAAAAATATTTCATATGCGAGTTTGTCTTACCCTTATTCGGTTCATTTTTTATTATTCCTAATATTTATAGCCAGCAATCGACCCAAATATCCATTCTAATAATATTATAAGGGTTATTGTAATAAATGCATTATGCTACCATTTCAATGTCACTTTTCATGCTTATACTAGAGTTTAAAGAGAATCCAAGCCATTTTTCTCAATCATATTTGGGGAGCGGGAGATAACAAAAAGGTAGAAAAGTATTCCATTGCTTTTCCTCAGTTCAAATTCTCTTAGGAGAATATACCCTCTTGTGGTCATTTGGTTTCAATAATATATGGCATACAAAGCATCTTCTCAAAATCTATTTTATTCCCATGAAAATGAATTGAGTTAATCTGAAAGTCATATTTGCTCTGCAATACGATAGTGATAGTTCCGTATAGCCTAAGATCTAATATGTCCACATCTGTGCTCATTAGCCATGATTGTAAATTCCTCCCTAACCTTTGCAAAATAGGAACCCTAATCAACTATGGAGGATTTCTGATATTCACGAAACAGTGAAATTAATTTACTAACTTCAGACTTCTTTAAATGCTTCCTGTATAATTTATTTTACTAGCTGTATGTCCTATCAATATTTTTCTCGTATATATTTATCTTATGCTCGTGATATCCTTCTTTTACAAAACGATTTGTTTATCACTAATTTACTGCTATTCTTAGTCGATTCATCTTTCAAACTCATAATCCATGTGTGGGTATGCTTTCTCTTTTGAGATAAATGTATTCTCTTAACAAGACTTATACGAGTGATATCAATGAGGACTGAAATTATAATATTCGATTCGCCTAAGACTGGTTTAGGCATAAGGTATCCTTGATTTTATTATTTTACTCAGCCAATTAATATTGGAATCTTATTTACATGCCAATACTGTGAAGAGTAGTTTCACACCGTTTTTAATGTGCTATTTCTTTATATTAAAGCTCTGCTATACGTCCCAGCAGCCATCCTTCATTAATATTTTCTTGAAGAAGCTGAATTTATCCCTTATTCTATGCCCTATGGATACTATATGCACGTGAGCAGACGGTGATCTAGTCACTCCTACTTATTCTTGGGGCAGGGGATCTACCTTCTCGCTACTTTGTTACGATTCATTTTTGTGTTCAAGTTTTTATGCACCATTTAGATGGTGAAAAATTGGAATCCCAACTATTTTATTAGTCATAGAGCTATTGTGATAGCCAGCAACGATATCACCGTATCTGAAATCTAAAGATCGTGCTATAAAATTAGTCGCATACTCTATAATTGATTTCTTTCCTTTTGCACAATTTTTTGATTTGTACGATTATAATTTTTGGTTTTCGTACATAATTTTTTGGCTATAATTATCTATTTTTTATCTTAGTTCTTCCTCTAATTTTCGGTTATATGACACTTTGACTCTATCATTTTCTAGATGGCCTATCGCCCACCAGGGGAACGCCGCCTCGACGATTTGCTTGGTGTAACATCGGGTGGCCCACTTGGCCGTCGGCTACATGAGACAGGCCATTCTCCGGCTGATTATACTGTCTTTCTTGATCTTGTCCGTCGTATGCTCATCTATGAACCAGCCCGTCGGATCCGGCCAGCAGATGCTCTTGCTCATCGTTTTTTTCGTGCCCCTGGCTGTGGTCCCTCGGTGACAGCCCCATCTGCAGCAGCAGGTGTGGCCACCCCGCCCTCCGCCTCATCCGCTAGCTCAGTCACCAGTCTCCATGGTGCCCAGACCAGCCTTCTAACCGCTTATCCCATTCATGTGCCTGTACCTCTCTCTCTGCCTCTGTCAGTTCCCGTACCTTTACCTCTAACTCTCAGCCTCCCCCTCACCGGCTTGCCCCTAGCATCTTCTAAATCAGGTGGCGGAGCTGGCCTCATCAATACTAATAATATTGCTTCGCGTGCTTTGCCTTCTAGTGCCATCTCTTCCGCAATCTCTACCATTCCAATCTGTACATCGCTATCTGTGAGTTCTGTTCCTCTCAACGATGTGCCTCCAGCGTTTACTGCGAGTGGAAGTAGTATCAGCATTAGCAACGGCCTGGACGGCTCACTTCGTCTTATCCCTCTAGAAGCAGCAGGGCTCTTTTCTGGCCAAAATGACCTAACGATTAGCCAAACGAAAGGGAGTGGTGGGTTGTTGACAAGCTCTGGGAGTGTTGCTGCCTGTTCCTCTGTTGCTACTGGGTTCATGCCAGTCTCTACAGTGTCGTCTGCTGCTCTCCTGGCTGCAGCAGGTCTCCTGCCATTTACCTCGGCGGCATCAGCAGCAGCTGCTGCTGCTGTTTCGGGTAATGGCATGTCTGCTCATCAGACATCTTCGATATCCATCACCGGCACTAACGGTTGGTGTGTACTTGTCTGAAAGAATTTTCTTGTATCATTACGCTTTCCCCCTGCCTTATCTTTTTTATATAAGGGAAAGCTGAGTTTTGAAAAATCCCTTAGTAGATTGTTTTTGGCGTAACTTTTATTTCCTTAGATGAGGCAAGTGGAGGGGATTCTTAAATTGACTCATCTAAAAGCCTAAGTAGGACAGAATTTGAACTATGACTAGATTTATGCGATTAGGTCCTCGGTGCACGATATCGCGATCTCAATGGATCCGAGCTGAGCTCTTGTCGGTCGCCATCAAAACAGAAAACCATGGTTTACAAACATTCAACAAACACAGTAGTCGGCTGCGCCCTTGCCTATTTATTATTGTCTAATTTTGCCGACTTAATGAAGCATCTCATGATTTTATTAGCTATTTTATGCTTTCCCTTCATGCTTACAGAAAAGTGAAGTGGCTGCGGATGGCGTTTGAAGGGAATGCAATAGTGACTGAATTACGGCATTGCCACTCAACTTTCTTGTATGTTGACTCTGCCATGCTGACTCCTATTAATGCGCCCCGTTGTATTTATATTGTGTGTAATGGTTATAGGTTTTGTAAGATATGAGAGTCCTAATTAGATCAGAGGTTAATCAAGCCTCGTCCTGCTCATCGATAACTCTGTTCATTCGTTTCCCTTAAAATTTTATCTAAAAGCTAAAAATATTTTCCGTCTGAATTCCTACATTCGTCCCTTCTCTTCTGGATATTGGCAGCTTTGCTCATCACTCTGGCATCCCTAACCTAATCTATATTCTCTCAGCATTTAGCCGAAAACCAGTCTATCTGGTGACCAGTATAGGCCATCTGTTCGGTCAGTTCTGATTTTTGTAATCACAAACGTTCGCAGGCTGCATTATGTTGAGATAACATCTTATCTATGGATCGACTAGCCTCCCCCATCTATAGATTACCTAATCAACACAATTTTGTAACATCCCGATCTGAAA